CATAAAATAATATAATAATCATAACAGTGTTTGAATACTATTTCAGTTATTAGTATTTTGATTACAATATATTATATCCATACTATGGCAGCTAAAATACCATTTACACATGAAACAGGAGTCACGCATATATTTTTTATTATTAATATCAAATGGTACTTAAATTGAAGGTCTTCATATATATTAATAATAAGAACTATAATAAATTATGATACATGTTTATTCCCTAGCTGCTGTCTCTCAAATGGAAACGCGTTTATTTCATTGCTATTTTTTAAACTTGCTACATTATAAATTATCACATTTGCAGGTTTTATACAAGTATACACGTACACAATTTCCCTATTTTCATTGCTTTAATTGCTTGTACAATGTATTTAGAGGTTAACATTCCTCCTTGTTCATATGTAGTTAGATGTGCCTTAAACATGAATCAATAGATATGCTTTGCAAGTTAATTACATGCATGTCTGAGTGTGCATTTCTGTTGTATTAGAATTAAAAAATCCAGGGAGCAAAAAGACATCCATAAATAAATGATATGACCGAGACTGACTGACTGAGAAGAACCGACACTGCATATGATATCTACCTAAAATACCCCACAATGAATATCATACACACACGTAAAAATCTAAAAAACAAAAAGCACAGGCAGATAGTCGATCGGTTCAGTACAGAATACAAATTCGCACGCACAATTTTACATAGCTTCTGTATAACATTCATGCATATTATGTAGTATACGGCAAGCGCGTACGAGCGAATGCGCGATCGATATTCTCAGCTATGTACAAATGACCCATGACCCGATGACGTCATAGGGCTCCAGTGCGTAACAACGAAGTGGCTTATAGCTGAGCGAGTACAGCACGCAATTCAAGGCTGAAAGGTCGGTGGATCAAATCCCAACTGTTTTTTAATTATTTTTCTGTTTTCTGTATTTTTCTATTTTTATCCATTTAATTTTTTTTTCCAATTAACGCAAATATTTACATGATTTATTTACAACAATTTAATAACAACAATTAATTTTTACAACAATTAGAAATTATATTTTTTATATATTTTTTTAAATAGGGTTAGGGTTAGGGTCACAATGCAGTGAATGCACCATAAAACAGGAGTTTGAGGCACGTGATTTGTATCAACCAATGGCAGCGCTCACTAGAGCCCTATGTTCTTGATTGACCTAGGAAAAATAATCACGATGGATTTACGTACAGCTCAACCGTACATGTATGCATGCATGCTTGCATACAAAGTATGCAATCTATATACATATACTAATAATAAAGATGTAAATCTAATTATACATACAACTATCTGATTTTCTCTAGAAAGATACACATTTAGTATCAGTTCATAACTGATACTAAAGCACCGTGATAACAGCGTGCTTATTATTTTACAAATGAAACTGAGCGCAGAGCGTGTCTTCCCCTGGATGCCTGGATGTAAACATAAACAAGGACGCATGGAGAAACTGTCCAATAATCTTCTCTCTTGCTTATCTGGAAATATTTCTTACCCGCTTTCCTATTGGATAGTTGTATGGGCGCGTCACCAAAACGGGCACGTGGATAGTAATTTCCAAACAAACGGGGCGATCACGTCAACAGTCTTTGGTTTGAATCCGTGCAATTTGTACACGTTTTCAAACATATCCCTCTTTTAAGAAGGACATAATGAGCATTGCAGCCCTTCTTCAAGCTGCAGAGTACATCGAGCGGCGGGAAAGAGGTAAATAGGCATGTTTATTTCAGAGATAGAACGAAAATTCGGAAATGTATTTTCAGATGGGTGTTGCCACGTCGTGTTCACATGGCGGACGTCAGCGAACAGCTGATTGCCTGACCTGTTTTTAACGCATGGCGCTATCAGCGCTTCTAAACACGAAACTGTGTAGATATCGATTATATTTCTCGTGTGCGTTATAACACCATATAGTATGAGGTGAAATTGTTCGTTGTCGTATTCCCATGTATGATTATTAGAAACGCGTTCTTATTTGACTGAAATGTAAACAATAATTTTACCTTTATTAATTTATGACGACGTAATTTAGTTTGTAAATATAATTTGCGTAATCCTATTTTGGCACCCCGACACTCATTTTCGTAAATATGTTGAACTAATCCAGGGGGCTAAACTAGGATTAGGCCATATAATTTAGATAGTCTTCACCTAGTACTTTATAGCGTACGTTGTACGGCAAGAAAAGGCATTTTGGATTAAGTGCATACTTTCACATTATTGTTAAAACATGTACCTACACTGCAGCTTATAGGATGTTTGTGATACTGATATACAGAGGCAGAACATGGGTATGCAGCTATGCCACTTCCTGAAGATCACATGGATCTTGTAAAAAGACACAGGCCGTATTTAAAGGTGTTGAAGTCCAGCTATAACTCCTCTGCTCGGCATAGTGCCAAGAATCATACTACCCTTGGGCCAGCAAGGTACATACTCATCTTTTGTCTGAATATCAACATGATTATCTGGATGTTAAGCTGGGTTCACACTAGCGATTTTTCGTCGTAAAATCAAGAAATTGGCGCGATTTTCAGCGATTTTTTAATTGCCCAACTCAAAATTGATAGTGTGAACAGAAAAGTTGATGTTGAGAAATGGAAAAATTAAAAAAATTCATGTGTCTGGCAAAATAGAACGTGTTCTATTTTGCTCGATTTTGCTCGACACTTTGTCATGAAATCGTAGAAGCGCTGCACACTGATTGGCCAGTTCCTACGTGTAAAAATAGTTTCACGTCATCTCTGTCTTCGCAGCACGTGATACAGAAAGTGGCGCCTGCCGATAAAACAGAACAGCTGATTGAGTTATTCAAGAAGAACTATTGTTTGTGGCGTGTGGACACCAGAGAATATCGAAATCATATCAGCATATCACAGCATGGCACAGCATATCAGATGGCCATTATGACCTCACAATTTACCTCTGATATTATATCCAGACAGTGCTTATATTATATTAATTATATAATATGATATCCAGACAGTGTGTCTGGTTTATCACCAACTTTCATCAACTTTCAAAGACAAAAGTCTATAGTGTGAACAGATGTTACTGAAAGATTTCTTGATAAGAAATGGAAAAATCTTTACAAAAGATGTTGAAAGATTTTACTTCAAAGATTTTCAAAAAATTGCTAGTGTGAACCTAGCATTATTTAAACAAAACGTATTCATTTATTTAAATTGTTCATATATATAGTCAGGTATCTTACCTGAATGTGTTTTAGTACTCACATTTGCTCTCGGTATCATAACTTGTAATTACAGCTACAATTATTAAGAATTATTTTACGGGTTTTTTTTTTCTAAAATCATCATCATATCTTTTTATAATGGGTACAAATTCGTTAGGAATTTAATTATGTAATTTGTTATGATATATTTTTGGTGTATTTTACTTGTATGAAATGAATGTAAAATATGTAATCGTGTACAGTAACAAATAATAGTGCATTTTCTCTCTATATATAAATAAAGATTTTGTGTCTGCATTCAAATAGGTCAAGCCACAATGAATTGGAGAAAAGCAGGTAAGAGTGTACAATTGTTAGCAAGTATAGTATACATAAATTCTATGTATCTATTTTCCATGCTTTCATTGTTTGTCTGTTTCTTACAGCACTACCCCTGCATCTCCCTGCCATCCTTCCCCCTTCCTTCCCTCCCTGCCTCCCCTCTCTCACTCTCCCACTCATACGTGAGTACACGCACACGCGTACACTCACGTACTTACTAACTTATCTCGTCAATCACTCTGTTAGGTACGTGAGTTCATATTTAGTCATGACTAGGCATGCAAAATTTGTTCGAAGTGAGGTTCACGATCATGTTCGTGCGTGCATGCGTGCGCGCGTGCGTGTGTGCGCGTGGGTGCAAGTGTGTACATATACAGTCGTAGCCACATTGTTTGGATCGATCAAGTTCGCCATTGATCGTGATGCTGCATGCACTGTGCAGCATGGATGCCCAGGACTGACCTGGGAAGATGCCAGCACCGCAGTGTAATGTGCATCTGTATGTACCAGCTGAAGTGGAAGTGGGTACAGTTATATGGCCAAACCACGGTTGGTTACTGTGTGTTTTGGTGGGCACAGCCTCAAGAACGTGTACATGTACGTGTAGTTGGGTTTTATGGCACAACCTTTGCACTAATTGACAAAGATGAAACATATGTGTGCAGTGTACAGATAGGTAGTAGTATACACACGCACGCATGCACGCGCGCACGCACGCGCGCACGCACACATGCACACACACACACACACACACACACACACACACACACACACACACACACACACACACACACACACCACACCGCACGCACGCACGCACGCACGCACGCACGCACGCACACATAAGAGAGAGAGAGATAGAGAGAGAAACACACAGACACACAGACACACTCACGAACACAAACACACACACACACACACACACACACACACACACCACGCACACACACACACGCACGCACGCACGACACAAACACACACAGTCACACACACACGCACGCACGCACGCACGCACGCACGCACGCACACGCAAACGTCAAGATTCGTGGGATTATGCTGGGTTAAGTAGTGGCGGCGTGGGGAAGAGGTCATTGTGACGTTGGATCTCCAGTCTTATGAATGTCGGACAAGTGTCTGGGCGTAGACATCACACAGCGCAGGCGGTTTTTACAAGGGCATTATCTTTTGATGATTTCGCACGCGTCAGCAGCCTAGAAAAGGTGCAGTTAAAAACATGCAAATGCTTGTCCCGCTCTGCCTAGCGAATTTGTGTCTAGCGTTCATACGCTAGCGAACGTACTCGTGTACATCTAAATCGCTAAACGTGAGAGGAAGATATTGCATACCTATTGCTGCAGTAAACATGGCAGCTGAATATGATTTCTTAGGAGAAATCCAATATGCGAACGAGTTTTTGCTCTGCAGTGTACCGCAGCCTACCCTTGATAGAACTGGGAATATGTACGGTGTTTGGATGTAGAGGTCACCTTCTGAAAGATGCCTGAAAAATCTGAGCACGCGCACTTGTTTGTCACTGATGTGATGAACCTCCAGGGCGAAACTTCAACCGTATTTAGATAGTGGTTCTGTTTGAAACATGCTGTATGCATAACGAGAGCGTAATATTCCACTCCGCTCTTGGCAAAACTATGTAAATACTAAATATGTGTTTGCGCATGTTCCGTGAATTTATGTTAACCTGTTAATTTTAGATTCTACGCTGTTTGACACAAACATGAGTAGTACGTGAACTGTGTGTGTGGTGGGTGACTCACAGTGCAGATTCTTATTAACATATGACCAGAGGGCAGAAAGCTACTATATCTATTTCAGGTGCACGTGCACCATGTCATCATCGTATGTCTAAACCCCCCCCACCCCCATTCTACTCTGCCCTCGGTTAAACTTTGCTGTACGTAACTAATCGTTTGTAGAATTGAGACATTTTTTGCATTCATTTCCACCTAATTAAAGATTGCAATGAATGTTGGTGCTTGCGTGCACTATTTTCGATATTTCGAAAGGAAAGTGCTTAATTACAATTGTTGATTTTCTGGTTATGTAGTGACATAGAACAAGTAGAACTTGTGTTCTAAAACAGTCGGTTAGGTCAAAGCTCAAACGTTCAAGGTGGGGATGCCAAAAGCTGCTTTCAATTATTTTCCTCTACACAGTTTCAATCACAGAAAGAGCAACGTTGTGCTCAGTTGTATATATAATTTAGGGCAATCAAAAGAGCATAAAATCTACAATTTACTAAAGTGTGTAAATTAGTTTCTGATGAATTTCTAAATTTATATTTCTTTACAAAAATGACCCAACCGCGGTAGATAGTAATGACCGTTTGGGTGATGGTGATGGTTACTAGGTGATTAACCTTAATGAAACTTTACTGCCTTTGTATGCCCACCAATTAATGGTTTGAAGTTGGGTTTTCACATTGAACTGTGACCGGTAAGTGTACCAGATTTACGCCGGGCCCGATTAAGCTGGTACGGAGTCTGTAGCATATCTTATAAAGGGGCCCTAAATTTAAAAAAATCACATAAATATTAAAACACATAAATTTAACTTAATACAAACCTAAATATTCGTAATAGATTTACAGACAAATAAACTTTTCCAGCACGCATTTTTTTCTATTTTTCATATCACGTTTACGTGTATACTAAAATAATTATTTGTTAAACAAAATTTAGCTATTAGATAGTTCATGATATTACAGGGCCACTAAACCACGGGGCCCGTAGCATATGCTACTTTTGCTACTATTGGCCCTGGATTTACGTGCTGACATGTTAGACGTTTTATACCTACTAAAGCTGAAAATAGGATTGCTTTTATTTCGCAAATAAACGGGCAAACTTGAAAGTACCAGGTATAACCGAGAAATTTATAGCATGCACATACCTTCACGACTTTTATTGAACTGTAAAATTGACAATTTACAAGAGACATTTTTAGCTCACTTGACATCGTCAAGCTGAGCCATTGCCATGGGTCGTTGTCCGTCGTACGTTCGTCCGTTCGTTCGTCCTTCCGTTAACATTTGGCTACGGTCAACGATAACTCAGGAACCGTTTGACCCACATGTTTGAAATTGGGTACAGTTGTTACTGCTATGAAAGAGGTTTGAACGTCCTATTTTGGAGCACGCCAGTCGACGTACTTTCGAGCCACGGCAATTTTTTGGCAAAAATGGGAATTGCCATTAGTCAGTTCAGGTTCAACGGATTTTGCTCATCTTTGGTATGTGAATGAATAAGGGCTAGGGGTTTTAATATTTAAAATTTTTTTATGCAAATTAGGTAAGTTTTGGCAATTATATAGCATATTATATAGACACGCAGATAACAGTCTGTGGTGCCACACTCGTCTGGTTCGTTTTACAAGATTTCATTGACAATATCTTTAATGCAAAATTGGTATTTCCTCTCCACCCTGCCGATAAAACGTCTATATTAAAGTAAAGTTTTACAAAACATGTCGGAACGCAGCATAACCTATTTATTTCGAACGCCATCGCTGAGAAGCATCAAAGCGGATATAGCGCCATCTACCGTCACAAATTGTGATTCTTTTTGGTTTATAAATTATTATCGCGATATACAGATGGCAACCGTGTGCTACCGCCTAGAAAAACTCATACGAAGTAAACACTTCCATCCAACCAATTAACCTTTGACAAAAGTTGTGTTATGGGCAGGGAAACACCATTGTCACGTGGTATATAGCAGCTACGTGGAATAACCGTATCCTCTCAATCTTACACGTTATACATCGTGAGCTCCGCTTTTAGGCAGTGCCTAAATCTGAATATTATAAAAACGTTAAATGGCAATCATTTAGGTGTCACACCATCACTCGCCCACATCTCAGACTTTCACATCTCAAACATTTATTTTCACATAAAAAATTACACATATAATTATCAAGAGTAATGAGTATATAATGGGAGTTCTCCCATATATACTCTTTGTTTCTATAATAAACGTCGATGGTTGCTCAATTAAAATTGACTTCTTCTCATTCACTCATTTGTGTCCTTTTTGTGGTGAGCTACAGTGTCATTGACACTTTCATTTATGTTCAACTGTGAATCTATTGTACGTGCCAGAGACACATTTTGAAATTTATCTATTTTTATTGTAGGTGTTTAAATGCCATGTAAAAGCAATAAATAAGTTTAGTGAGCTCCCTCGCGGGTGAAAAGTGTGTCGAAATAGCTATTGTAGACAGTAGTATTGTTAATTAACTACTTTAAAGCAACCCTGCCACAGACCATAGTACCTTTAAAAGTGCACGGATCTCATGCTTACGTGAAAGTTTCAAGGTGACCTATAGCGGTATTTATGTAACTGCGATTAGTTATGTCGTCATTGCATTAATTTGTAGACTCGTTACTAAAGCTCATAGGGTCTATGTCCCCCAGGGTACTATCGGAGGGTACCCTGGGTACGGTTCGATATATCTGATATGGTTAGGGTTAGGGTTCGGGAGTAGGGGTAGGCGACTCCCTAGACTCGTTAGTGGAGTAGGCGAGGTACGGTCCGGCATATTAGATAGTACCAGGGTACGTTCCGATATATCGAACCGTACCCAGGGTACCCTCCGATAGTACCCTAGGGGGCATAGACCCTCTCAGCGTTACTAACCCAGAAAACGTATGTCGATATGTAAACGCTCGTCGCAAACGTTTGCTGTGTCTTGTGTACGTGTTATAGTTGAACTTCGGTGCAGGAAATTAAATATTTCCACGCGTCGAAATCTTCACGGTAATGTGCAATGCCCCGCCACGTACGTTGCGTCACCGTTTACGTAAGCACAGAACAGGTCTGAATAAATACAAGCTTTCATATAAATGTTTATTAATACGCGCGTTACGTAACCGAGAGTGAAGCTACCGTATATAGTTCTCGCGATTACATAACGCAGAAATGACTCAATAATCCCTCGTAGCATTAAATGTCCATGTTGTTATCCGCGCGTACGGGAGTTATTGCATCACTACAACT